GTTGTTCATTTTAGTAGTGGTGGTAGTGACGTAGGAAGTGAAGGTGATGCAGTTTTTGCTGCTACTGCTGTAATTACTGCCAAGGACGATGACGTTTCTGTGTAGATTAATGCAAGTTTCGATTATCATCACTTTTGCAGAGGAGGAAGGGAGGGGGAAATTTTTAATGTGAAAGGAACGGTTCTGCCTTGACTCTTATGAAGTTTGCACTAGGCTGTTGTTTTATTTTAGGTGAAAATTTTTGGCAAATATGCCGCCGGATTTTGCAGCCCTTTGTTTAACAAAATTTCCGCCGTTGGCTCGTGTCATTATAGTGCTTTGTGGTGCTGTTATTATACATTTAACTATTGGAACTTATCATACATACGGTAGTCATTTTATATACTCTTTTGTGCTGCTTAATGGTTTTCTCACAATTAAGAAAAATGTAGGAAGAAAAGTAAAAACTCATGAAAAGCTTTCAAAGCGTGATGTTTTCTTCTTCCTTTTTCATTTTTTTTCTTAGGAATGGAGAAGAATTTATTGGATTGATGAATTTTATGGTATAAATTTTTATTTCTTCTTTCATTACTTATAGTTTTTTTTTTTTTTTTTGCATGATTAATAGTTTATTGGTTTTAATAGAACTGTTTAAAATTGTTTTAGGTAATATGTTACCCTACATAGCATCATATATGCGTAATTTTACGGATTCTTCAATTACACTTGAACAACTTGTTTGGGTACCAAATTTTCAAGGTTTTTATTTGGTTGCTGTTGCACATTATAAGTTATAAGCAAACTGTTTTGATTTATTTTTTTCTACACAGCTGTATAAACGAAATAAAATTGGTGTATTTTACATGTGCAATTTGAAGTGTATAGCGGAGGTTATTAAGGATGTTTTCCATTTTCAATGGTCATCGGCGGAATATTATCGACTATTTTTGGGCCGCGTAAAGCAGCATTTTTTGGATGCGCAATTATGACGTTCGGTTTTTTGCACTTCTATTGAACATCCTAATGAGTTTTGGTTTTTGGCTATATATATATATATATATAGGATTACAATAATGCTAAATAATTCTACCATTTTTTTCTTTCGATATTTAATTTTTCTTTTTGCCAAATTCTATACTGGTTGAAGTCATTAAAAAAAAAAGTTTTGTAGCATTGAACAAAACAACACTTACACGCTCTCTTAGTTTTGTCACCAAACAACGAACGAAGCCTATAGTTTAACAAAAGAAAAAATTAAATTGACGTTCTGTCAACCAATTTTTACCAGTTACTCTTCCACTGTTAGCGGAACAGCAATACCAACAACTCAAAAATGTATATGTTAAAAAAGAGGGCAACAATATTCACTTGTTGAATAAAGGAAAGAAGTTGAAAAGGAGTTGGTTAACATTTCAGAACTGGCGTCTTCTTAGCTTCATGGGCAATAACCGTATCGCTTGGTGCTTTTTTGCTAACTTATGGGGTTATGTTTGGATTTGGTCAAGGAATTGCCTATGTTACAGCTGTAAACACTGCTATCAATGTAATTTTTAGTACTTTTAGTTGACCCGTCATTGAGCTGGAAAAAAATAACACATTTTTTTCTTTTACCAAAGAATGCTGAAATACTGTTTTCATAAAAAGATTGTCTGGATTTTTTTTTTTTTTTTTATTTGAAAATGAAATTTTAGTGGGCACCAAATAACGTTGGCATTATTAGTGGCATTGTAGCAGCTGGTTTTGGCTTAAGTTCTTCAATATTTGCACCAATTCAAACACTTATTATTAATCCAGAAAATTATAAAGCCACAACAAGTGGGTGAGTATTGTAGCATTTATTTAGGATATTAAAAAAAAAAATGGTTTTTTCCCACATAATAAATAAAACTTATTAAGATTATTGATGAGACAACTGCTAAAATACAGTTAATCTTTATTTTTTTGATAGAATTTTATGCATAAAATTAAGGAATTAATTTTTTTTTTTCATACGATTTCTGCGCTTGAACTTTGTTGAAAATTTAGTGTTGATTTGCAGCTAAATCTATTTATTAGACAGTTGGCAGAAATTGTTTCTTATGGAAAGATGAAGAAATGTGCAAAAAAAAAAAAAAATTAAATGATTAAAAATAAATAAAGTAAACAAAATTGTGGTATTGGACTTTAATTGGTTTTTTTTTTATTTGCAGATATTTTACTCAAAAAGAATTGGTTGTTCGAGTACCGTCAGTTTTTAGCAATTTAGCCGTCTACTATGGTGTTATGCAGATTATTGGTCTTATCGTTATGTGTGATCCGCCAAATGAGGTGTGTAGAAGTTTGTATCAGTTTCCCCTGTCAAACAACTATAATTGCACTAAGAAATTGTTTGTAACACTTTTTACGGGGAAAAATTTTATTATCAGAAGAAAAAGAAAAGAAGACTAATAAAAGCTGAACAGTCAATTTTTTTTTCCAATAATAATCAAGCAAATAATTAATAATAATAGCAACAATAAAAAATAGCAATAATAACAATAGTAAATAACATCAGTGAAAATAAGAGCTATTTTAATGACAATAATATTTTTACTAATTATAATGATAATAAATGCTATTAATAACAGTAATAATGCTAATTATAATAATAATAAAAATAGTAACGACTTGTTTAATGGTGAGTAGTTTTTTTTTTTTTTTTTTTT